TCGCACTAAAAACTGGCAGGCTCAGATGTTTTGGCTGTGGGATGAAGAGCACTGGACTGGAGCAGACTGAAGCAAAAACACTGCAGGTACAGGTGCTGAAGTTTACATGGAAATTCACTTCCATCAGCTCAGATTTTCAATGGTAAGGCAAAGATGATCTGTTCTCAGAGGTGCTTTTAATTTATTTAAAACTAACATACTCTAGGGCTGAATCCTGGCATTAAAAACAAACAAAATCCAGCTTGCGCTAATTTATTATGGAATTATAATATTGTTTACCACAATTCCCCAAGTGGCGAGGAGTTTAATGGGTTTAGCACCTAGATTTTATTTCCTTTGGAATAAGGTCAAAGGAGGCTTACTGGTCTTTTGTAATATTGGTGTTTATTTGAAAATATGCAGGTCGAGTGTAGGCACCCAAAATTCACTGCATCCACTCAGTTTTCCAGGTCTATTACTTACACACGCACATGCGGCAGGGGTGAGGCAGATCATTGAAATCTTTGCTGGCCACTGATACAGAGAGTAATTAAGAGCAACCCGTCTTCAGTTTCTGTAACAAATAACACCTGCCAAGAGAAACTTGTCCAACCTGTTTAACGCTAACAGAACCCCCAAATTGAAAGGCACCCAAAGAGATCATCCAGCTCAGTCCCCCACCCATAACACTATGCACGGCATATTATTGTACAGTACTGTGCCACATTAAAATGAATTAAAAGTAACAGGTTGGTATGTTGTATATGCAGTACAAATGAACACAAGAGTTTTTTTGTGTGTGATGTTGTGTCACACATAATTACGATGTTTTATGTTCTTTAAGTGCTGCCCCCTGCCCCCACCAGTTGGGAGGGGGTTTTTGACATTGGCGGCAGCTACTTCAGCCTGCCTTATGAGTGAGCCGGCTCCAGAAAGTGTAGTGGCGTTCTCTCTGGACCTAATGGTCAGCGGTACCTTTACCTGTACCTTTGCTTTGAGTTTTACTGATTTTCAGTTATGAATGAATCGGATATACAGAAGGAGTGGGGAAAAATAACAATACCAACAGATCGGAGTACAGAGCCAGAACAAAAAAAGGGAGGGGGGATATTATAACCGAAACAATCCCAGTTGTGGTTCGGAGGATGCACGGTATTCAGATAAAAGTGCGATTTTTGCACCATGTTCCGTGTGTTCTGCCGGTGGACGAAAGCCATGCTCGATCGATTGCGCCCATTCAGCGGCGTTCTCTATAGCAATCAGCTGCCACAGCAACACGGCAGAAACGACCCCACTTGCTGCGCAAAAACAGCTGCGCGCCTTCGCTCTGAGCGTTCCACACAGCCTGCGCGAGCGGCCGCCTCTTGGGAGCCTGCGCAGACGGAGGTGCAGGGGCGGGGTGGAGCGTCCCCTCGCCTCCTCACAGTGCGCAGGCGCACGGGTTGGAAGGCAGCCGGGCCCCTCCTCTGCTCCGTCACTGGCTAACAACGAGCCGGGCCGTCTCCGCTCTCTGTTCCCCCCTCCCTCCTCCTCCTCTTCCCCCCTCCGGAACCGGCGGGGGCAGCAACACCCGAAGGAGGGAGCCGAGCAGGGAGCCGACATGAGACAAGAGACCAGCCGGCCTTGGCGATAGAAGAAGAAGAAGAAGGTGGGTCCCCGGTCGCTCGGCTTCTCCCTCCCTCCGGTCCTCTTCATCCGCTCGGCTGCTTCCCTCGCCGCTGCCCCACACAGCGGCGCCTTCCTCGGGCTGCTCTCCCCACCCCGCCCCCTCCCTCCCTCCCTGAGGAGGCCCCCTTCACCCCCACTAGCCGCCTCCCCGATCCCCTTTCAAGCACCTTCTCCCCCCCCCCCCCGGTTCCCTTTGACTCCCCCCTCAGTGCTCCTCTCCCCCGGCTGCCCCCCCCCGTCCACGAATACGCTCTCCCCCTGCTCCTCCTTTTCTCTCTTCTTCTTCACCTCTGGCCATGTCCCATCCTCTTCCTCCTCCGCCGACTTCTCCTCTCGGTCATTCTTCCCTCGCCTACTCTCAGCTGCTTTCCTCGGCCTAGCCCCCCCCCCCCCAGTCGCCCCACACCTGGCTCGCCTTATATCTCGGGGTCGCCCCTCCTCCTCAGCTCCTTCCCCCCCCTTCTCCTCGGTCACCCCGACTTCCCGCTCTTCCTCTGGCTTATGCCTCTTTTGAGGATTATTCCCCCCCCCCATCTCTCTGCCCCAAAGTAGCTGGTGCAACCCAGCCAGATGGGCGGGATATTATTATTATTATTATTATTATTATTAATTTCCCTGTTCCCGGCTTCCCACTTCTACCTGACTCTCAGCATTCTCAGTGCATCGTACCTTTTACCTCCGCAATCCTTTCCTCTATCTGCCTGCCTCTTCCCTTCCACCCACCACTTTCTGGTACCCAGACTCTACCTCTTCCCCATATTCACATTCACATTCCCTCTTCCAGCTTTCCCGCATGTGCCATTGCTGTCTTTCTCTGGCTTCTTTCCCATTGATCTCTCCCCACGCTTGTCCTTAAAAGCCTTGACTCTCCCCTTTGTCCCTTGGCAGCTCTCAGCTGTTCCCTCCTCTCTTTTAATTTTCTTCTCAGTTTATTAACCCCGGACTCAGGCTTTGTTTACTTGAGTGCCCTTTGCTTTGCCCCAGAATACTTCTTTCTTTCTCATCCAGCCTCCACCATACTCCCCCACTGTGGCTTTCTGTTCCCTATGCTATTCTTCTGCTTGCCTATTCTGAAGTTAGGCAGTTGTTCCCTAACTGGCTCCTAAAACTGCCCTACCTCCAAATATGTCAGATAGATAATAGCCAAATCTTTGGGAAGTTTCCTCCCTCCTCACCGATTCTCTTCTGTGGTTCTTAAACCCGTTCCCCTCTTTTTTAAATTTAGGGAAAGTTATTTGTCTCATTAAAACCTGCCTTTTCAACTTCAGTTGCTGGAAAGGGGCTACAGTGCACAGGAGATTATTAAATTTACTAAAGTCACTTAATTTTATGAGTCTGTGGTAGATGAATTCAGAATAAATAGACCCCAAACTTAGTCACACTTGGTGACTTTTTCTGTTTCTGCTTTTGACTGCTTTGCAGGCTTGCAAGTGTGGTGAGAAAGAGGAAAGAAAACTGTTTCAAGCCTGTACTTTATCATTATTTGGATTGGGTTTTTATGCTTAGATGTGTCAAAAATCCTGTGACCAAACTTTTCTTTTCATGTAGTTCTTGTCTTTCTAGCTTCCTAAGAATAATGGTTTGATGGCTTTCTGACAAGCCAATCACTGTGTTGCAGGAAGTTGATCTTCTTCCAACATTCTTCCCTTTAGCTGCTTACAGAATTATTGTTGGAATCTTGGAAGAGACTGTTAACTTCCATTGGCATTCTGAAGCTAATTTGGAGAAGCAGCCATTTGTAGACTTTTTTCTGTAGCTGTAGAAACTGGTCCTAGCCACCCAGACTGGCTGGAACAACCCAGTCAGATGGGTGTAGGACAAATAATAAATGATAAATAGAATGGCCTCCTAACATCCATTTATGTTAGCTGTGTACACAAGATTTGTGTACATTCTTGTGTGTGTGTGCATAAGAAGTCTTGATTGTTAAGCAGTACACACCAGGCAGTAGTATTCAGTCCCATTAATTCCTTAAGGGCGTTCCTACTAAGTGCCCTAGTGGCAATTAATCACAGTATCTGTAGAGCATTGCATTTTTCATCAGCTTCTGTGTGCTTGTGCAGAAGTAAATTAAATAAACATATACAAAATGTATGCCTGGAAGATATTTATTTTACTACTTACAATCTTTATTGTATTTATAAGAATGAAATATTCATTATTTGTTCTTTTTGTCACTTTAAAATATTTCCTGTGTATTAAAATGATTGGGACCAGCCCTGAGTCTTGGGGAAAGGCTGAGCTAAATTTTAATAATTAGCCCATGTTGCATTCAGATTTCAAAATAGTCAGTTTTTTATTTACAGTTTGACAATGTGTCACTCTTAGATATTAATTCAAAAATCTTATTCTAGGTATACTGAATAATTTCCATACTTTCTATGACTTCTTTTTGCTAAAAACAGATGTTGTTCAGAGCCACTTTAATGGGAAAAATCATAGAAACCTGTTATAAGGTTTTGTATTTGCCACTTGTCAAGTAACATAACCTACACCATTGAGATGAGATGAACAAATCCTTTTCTGACTTTCAGCTTCTTGGAGTTAAGTAAAGATATAGAATTGGTACCTCCCAAGGTCCAGGTGCCATTATGTGAAGGAACTGGCACGTGCAAGTATAATACAGGGAGCCTTGCAGACGTGATTGGAAATACGTGGGTGTAGGATTGCATTCTTAGTTGCCTTTTGACTACTGATTATTTCAAATGCATTTATTAGTGTATTCAAGCTTATGTAAAACCATGAGGACCACAACCTTGAAATGCCATGACTGAAAACACATGTGTAGTACAAATATTGCTTTGTACTTCCTGTGGTTGATGATGTAATGCCTGTTCCTGGTCTGTATCAGTAACTGTGCAGTGTGTTCTGCTGATGTTCTGACTTCCTCTGAATGTGAAATTATAAATTGAGCCAGAAATATGTTGCTTAAAATAGTAGATTAAGTACCCCTCCCCCAAACACACATATTTTAGCCCATGTAAATGATACTAATTTATGACTTAGTATAGTTATTCAGGTTCCAGGATGGTAATGACCTTGGCTATTGCCTTTTTAAACGTGGTCAACAGTGAACATATTCTGATAGTAGCACCACCAGTAGAAATTATTGACTTGAGTTCTCAGTCCTCAAAATCTTCTTGCATATCTCATCAGGATGTGGAATTTTGGTGATGAAAAGGAACATGCAAAAAGTCTCCATGGTTACTGTTTAAATTAGTGTCAATAAATGCATTTACTTCCCACTATTTTTGTTCTCTTTTCCCAGATCTGTATAGTACTAACTCTGTGCAACCATGGTGCAGAAATACCAATCTCCCGTGAGGGTGTATAAGAAGCCCTTTGAGTTAATTATGGCTGTAAGTATCAGTTTATAATATGTTAATGAATTACTTAACTGCTTGGGTGGGTAACATTGGTTAATAAAAACTGAGTGCCATGGGGTATCTTTGCTCTGAAGTGGGTGCTATGTAAGGCAATTTCCAGTTACAAATAATTTATGCAGGCCTTTCACATTTGCTCCAGGATATGATGGTTGAAAAGTTTCAGCGGGTGATCTGGAACAAATACCTGAGGGAAATTAGAACAGTATGTTCTGTGTTTCTTGCTGTCTGTTCATCTAGATTAGGCAGTTCATAGGATCATTTCCATCACCACACCAAACCATGATTAATGAAACTTAGCTGTAGTTTTAGCATGATATGTGAATTGATAAACAACAGTTATGGTTGTTGCTCTGTCTCCTGAGCCTGTTGCATCTAGAGATTAGATGAAAAACAAAAGCAGTCAGGCAGCTCTAAAGCCATGGTATTTTAAAAATATATCAGACTATGGTTTGCACTCAGACTTTGGTTAGGTATACCATAATTTGATGTGATGTCTGAATTGAAGCCACTGAAGCATATGGTTTAGGGGTTGTGATGTTGCACATATCTTTTCTTAGTGTAGTCTTGAGATAAGCAATGTCTTTAGGGAGGAGTGAAATACGTATTTGTAACTTTTAAAAAACCTCTTGCTCTGAAGCCTAGCAGGAACTCCGACAGACTTGTTGTAGGAGGCACAGCAAGCCTGAAGGTGTTGGCAGTGGCCTTTTAAGCAGATCACCAGGACATGCTGTGCAGAACAACTTCTTTTGACTATAGGGCCAAGATATATTTGAAACACTGGTAAAGAGGATCAGTTCAAGTTGGCACTGTTTATACCTATGACTCGGAGAGACGTCAGCACAAGTATAGGAGCAGGAAGAAAAACGCCTACATTAAGACAGTATTAAGTGATGATATTAATGCATGTATTTAATCTGATTTTCCTCCTTAAAGTCTCTTCAGCTGTAATGGCATTCCTGTGACTTGTCTATGCACACCTTGTCTGAAGCAATGTTGAGATCTGGGGGGCGGGGGGAGAGATCTTACCACCATTATATTTTATTTTCTAAACATCCTAACGGAGCATAGCATGATAACTCATGGGAATATGGGTGAAAAAGAAGTTAGGTTTTGGTTAAGTGAGAAAGAAAGCTGAAGCCATCATTTTTTGTGTTCGTAGGAAGTTGCTTGCATAGGAGAAGCCAGCAAGATTTATAAAAGCAGAACAAAAGCCAACCATGCTAATAGAACTTCAGTTTTGTTGGCAATATGTCTCAACCCTGAGCATGCATCTTAAGGTCAGAAATTGTGCTGATGAGCACATGAGAGAGATGTGTTCAGTCAAGTTCTGCTGATGCTTTTAGCAAGTTTGCAGATAAAAGTACATGGTTGTGGACATGCTGAAGGAGCTATTATTTCTCATTTTATACAAGGGCTTAAACAAGGTTCGGTTCAGGAAACCGTATCCTAGATCTAGGAAATTCTACTAAGTATCCTCTTCCTTGTTCAGAAGTCCTTGAGAAATCTTAGCCTGGTAATGGTATCTCCTTAACACAATGGCCAACCTTCCTTCTTCCGCCTCCCAAATTCCTCATGGGAATGGACTGGCAGCAAACAATGTGAACCCTTCTAGGGTGAGACTTGTTATTGGTGAGTAAAGAAGTCTTTACTCACCACCTTCAAAAAAATAAAGTGATGTTAGAAATCACTAGGCACCAAAGCAAAATAATGTGTATTTTTGGTACTTCTGCTTCCTGTTTTAAGGCAGAGGTTTGTCTATGAAGGATGGAGACATGAGAGTTCTCAGCAGTTTCAAATATGAGCTTTGGGCTTCACTTTGAAGCCTTTGTTTGTTCATGGCCCACTAGCCATATATTGCAAACATCTTTGCAATAAGTATGCAATAATAAGTATGTAGAGTTCTGCTCTAGCTGTGTAAAACATAATTTGTGCATCATACCTAGAAGCCCCCATATATGCAGTGAAAATGTTCAGCCTGTTGAAAAGGAAGACGAAACCAAGTTTACAAATATCTTCAAAACCTAGCAAGAACAAGCTTTTTAATGCTGATTTAAATGGGTTTCATGCACGAGCAGTGCAAACAGTTTAATGGATTCGTTCAAGCTTGGAATATATAATCTACTGAGCTCTGAACAGCAGATACATTTCAAAAAGATACACTTAAAACTTGAGAATTTGGCTGAAGGGGTGCTTTATAAAATGCCCCTGTAATGCAACTAAGTGATTTACTTTAAAAACTAGACTCCCTGAGCTCAGTCCTGCAAATATGTGTATAGCAACACAGTTCTAGATTAAGTGAACACACTAAACAACGTCATCTTTGTCCTGATGAGTTGCAGCCAAAGTTGGTCAGGGCTTGATAACAATGAGGGTGGAGTAGGAATGTTTTTTGAGAAGGAAACTGAAAGAGAAGGTGGTGGTAATTCCTTTGCGCTGTTCTCTTCCTTCAAGCAAAAGCCTTTTCAGTGGAATTAGATTTCAGAAAGGGAAAGTGTTGCATGTAATTAGGAAACCTTTAAAAAGTTTCTTTACTTCATGGTTCACAATGCTAACTATATTGATTCTTATCTCTGGTAGGGGAGAAGTGTGGCCTAGCCAGAAACCAGTAGAGCAGGATTGGTCTACATAGATTTTAATCAGTTTTATTGATGCTGAAGATGGATGCAAGCTTTTATTGTCAAGAGTTGCTAAAAAATCAGCAAATGTCTTTGACTGGCAGACACCATAAATATTGGCTTGGAGTTCAGTTCTGTTGGTCTGTTGCCTCTGTAATGCTGGCTAATAGTAGTTTTGGCTTTTATAAGATTGTCATAATGAAAAATAATGAGACTTTTCTTGAGTTTAGTATGCTTAGGCTTGTGGCTGCACTTGATCTTGGAGGGATTGTTGAGGGTTTGGAGAAGAGGATACTAGCTGTGAGACAGAAGTTCTTTGCAAAGCGGAGACCTTATTTACATCTCTTTTAAAGCTGCATATGTGCTTTCCTGAGTGCAGCCTTTATTTGCAGCAGAATCCTATACAGGCTGCTCAGAAGTAAGTCCCACTGAGTTCATTGTGGCTTACTCCTATGTAAGTGGGTGTGGAATTGCAGCTTTAGTGCAATGTTAGGCTGACATGCAGAGAACCACATCGCTAGTTACCTGAAGATTACAGTTGGCTGTTAAAATGAGAAAAGTGACTTCTCAAATTACAAATATTGTGTGTAGTTTTGTTTTGTTTTTAAGACTATTAAACATGCTAAGTTTTATGCACGTATGGCTCCTGGCACAGCAAAGTAAAATGGAAGCAGTATAGAAATCAGCCAACTTTTTAAAAGCCTTGTCTCTAGAAATTAGCCTTGGAATCCTGTGACTTGAAGAATTAGAATGTGTTTGGATTTTGTATCTGTTACACTCCTCCTTATTCTTATTTCAGGGCATTCTTCCTCATTTGACTTATTTAAATGGCAGATTTAAAGCATTATTTTACAGTAAGTGATTACATAAAAAGAACTCTTAAGAAAGCTTAAGTAAAACGCAGGAGTTTCTGTTCCTCTATTAACAGCCAAAGAAATTGTGGGGAACTTAACTCTGTTTTTGTACTATACTCCTATGAATTAAGGGAGAGGCTGGTTATTGCGTTGTGGATTGGGTTTTATTGGCTTCTAGCCTTTTTGCCGAAGTCTGTCCCTCTGGAAAGTATTTGCTGAAAAGTATGGTTGGGGGTTAGCATCAACCTGTCTTGATGCTTAGGTTTTGAAGATTCACTACCCCTATTTCAGTCTATATATATAAAAAAAAATAGCCAAGAAATGTAGCACAAAATGAAACTGTGGCTGTTTCGGGCACCTGAATAGGAAATCAGGGGTTTCAAAAGCACAGATGGATTCCTGAGAATCTGCGGGCCAGTGGAGACTGTTCCATTAGGGTGAATGGGGCACTGCCCCACCAATCACATTCCGCCCCCAGTCATCCCTCCTGCCTGCCATCTAACTTACAATCAGCTCAAGAGGTGGCTGTGGCTGTCAGCTTCCTCCTCAGTCTCAATTTTGACCTACTGGAAAGCAGCAGAAGGATGCGGGACAGAACTCGAATTACAGTGGTACCTCGGGTTAAGAACTTAATTTGTTCTGGAGGTACGTTCTTAAGCTGAAAGTGTTCTTAACCTGAGGTACCACTTTAGCTAATGGGGCCTCCTGCTGCTGCCACGCCTCTGCTGCACGATTTCTGTTCTTATCCTGAAGCAAAGTTCTTAACCCAGGTACTATTTCTGGGTTAGTGGAGTCTGTAACCTGAAGCGCCTGTAACCTGAAGTGTCTGTAACTCGAGGTACCACTGTACTTGTCCCACCTATCATTGCTCTCAAGGTACCCTAACGTAGTGGCCTTTCTGAACATGTGTTGTGGTTTAATACAGCAGCAGGCATTGATGTTATGCTTTTGCTTCGATAATACTGTGATACATACACCCTGTGTGATCAAAAAGGGCACATTTATTGTATTTGTAGCCTCTTGTCTCCCACAACACTGTGGGAACAAATGTCATGGAATTTAGATATGCTCGGGCCACAATAGGAGAGCAAGCAGTGAGTTTCCTGACAGAATTGCTTACTTTTCCAAAACTTATTGTGTTCCTCCACTTGCTGGAAAATGTGAGTGACAACAGCCTTGGGTTTAGTTCCAAGAACCTAAGTTGTTCTGCCAGTAGGTCTTCCTCCCTCTTGAGGGTGTTTTCTAAATATGTGTACTGAAAAATACCCTTTGTTTTTGTGTATACACTTTCTGTTCTGCAACTTGTCAGAATTTAGTTGTCAACTTCGCAGTTCTTCCTGTGTGCTTTTGTGGTGGTAGTTCATGGTCTGTAAACTGCAGATGCTGCTGTTGTCACAATTTGTCTTTAATATGAGTGGCTGATTGTAAACTTGTTTGTCAGTACTTCCTGGGGTGGTTTGGTTGGACTCCCAAAGCTGGGGAAGGAGGAAGAGGCAATGTCAAAGGAGGGTTTATAAAGGATGTTGGGGCATAGCAGGAAAGCATTTTCCAAAAGAGACTCTCCACTGTTCTTCTTTGGTGTTGAGACTTTGAGAGTGGAATTAAATGTAGTGCAATGCTCAGCAGATCTCTGTATCAGCACAAGCATTTCTGCTTGTCTGATGGAGCAATCAGTCCTCTCATTCCCCTGCACACTGTTCCAGGGATTCTCCCACCCGCCATGTGGAGAGAAGCCTTGTTGCACTAGTGGAAGTCCTTATGCAAGCTTTGGCTGGCAGGGCTTGTTAGTTGAATCTCAACCATAATTTACATTTTTGTAAGGAGACTGACTCCTGGCACTGCATTTTTGCATTTTACTTGTGAGTTTACAAAGCCTAGTGTTCACAACTGTTTTCCAATGATAGTTGGAGTGTATATATCACATTTTGACTCCTGTACTGCCTTGGCTATTGCTGTGGTTAATGGTATGACTTCTGTACTGAATCGCAAATTATGGGCGATATTCTGCTAAGCTTTACTCTGAGCAAATCCATTGAAATCACTGACTATGACTAAGTTAGGCCCATTAATTTCATTAGGTCTACTCTGAGTAAAATTTAGCTGACTACCACCCTACATAAGGCGAAAACACCATAGAAGTGTTCGAAATTAGCCAGGCACATTTTGCACCAGGCTTTCAACCAGTTTTGATCAAGTGAAGATGCCTGGGTGCCAGGATGGCACTTGACATCTCCACCATCTGGGGATCATTGGATCTGGACTGTTTTCACACACTAATTCCCCATACTGTAGAATTCTACCAGTTATATTTTTTTTCTGCACAGTCAGAATGAATTTTGGGAACCAAATTGCTTTTTTTGTGCAGCCTGAGGAAGAGCAGTCACCATTAAGAAAAAGTGGACTATCCCTGGGTCAAGTGACTTTTCTTGTTTAAATTCTCAAAGCTCGTAACCTAGCTCAAGGTTGTCATCTGAACTAGTCAGATGTTTATCTGATTATCAATCACAGTAAGTTCCTCATTTGAAAAATATGACCATCAGGCCCAAAAATGGCAACTAGGCATTCTGTTTTGGCGACTGTAACCTCAGTGTAAGGAGTGATTTGGCACCTAGCATACATATCTGAGTTTCTAACACTGATCCATATGTCCACCTGTATTCCAGTGTTTATATTCTGCTGTTAGTACCTCTGGAGGAAGTCTTCATTATTTGATTATCACTGGTGGTGGTTTTATGTGTATGCTGCCAAGCAAGTGAATGCAGCTGGTGTTATATCCTTATATGTGGGTTTTGGCTATATTTATATGGAGCCCCATTGCCTTGTGACTTCCTTGCAGACATCTGTTTGCCTTATAGGGGAAATGCCTGACTTTCCTGTCTTGTAGCATTTGTGAAAGGCATAGCATCATCATAGGGGAACCTGTTAACATAGCACGCCACCCCTCCATTCCCCTTATAAGCCTGCCTAATGTGCCATCATTTTCAGTAAGAGGACACCACAAACTCCCCTGCCATTTGCACTTTATCACAGTCTTTGCTATTGACAGACAGTTCAGGGTTTTGTTGCTGAGCGAAGGAGAAGCTTGCTATTCCAGTTTTGTGAGTAGCCTGTAGCAGTGGAAGAAATAAACATAATTGCAGAACAGTTGCATAACTGGAGAACAAAAGATCACAGCTGCCATGCTGGTGGTCTGTACCTTGTTGCGCAGGATTCTCCTGAAATTCCATTACTGCAGTGAGCTAATCGAGATTTAACTGGTGTAGACCACACTGTAGCAGCTGTGTCTGGAATCGTGGCAGTATTCTCTGAGTTAGGTCCTGCTAATTGAACCTGGGAGACCAGAAGACGTTTTGGGTCTTAAATATTTATTTGGGGAATGGACATGGTGTGTAGAATGAGGTGGTGGTATCCGTATGCATAGATCTATGCCCTTGGAACAAATTCAGGTTCATTGTGAGTGCAGTTTCTTCAAACTGCCATTTCATTGAACTCCAGGTTGGCTGCCAAAGTCAGCTCTGCTGTGTGACCTACTCAGCATGTGGAAAATTGTATCTAAGGGGTGGGGGTGGTTTGCACAAAATTGCAAAGCTTCAGTATCTGAGACCCTTAACCAATGTTCCAGCCACTGAGCCATGCATTCTGAGTTAGAAAGTTTTGCTCACCCCACAAAGGCTCAGGCTTCAATGATTACTTGACGTCTTAAGAACAAGGAAACGAGTTAATTAAAACATTCCAGCCGCTTAGAATTTTGTGATGGATTTAGCATAACCCAGTAAGGCGACAGGCAACCTTTTAATGCTGGGCTTCACTGATACATTGTTACTAGAAAGCCTTCTAAAATTCACCCAAATGAGACCTGAAGCTGTGCAAGTTCAGATCAGCATATAAATAGCTAAGCTACCCTTTCAACCAAAATTTATTTCAAATCTTATAGTTGCTAAGCAACCCTCTGCATTGTCATGGGTTGAGCTGAGATTTTAAGCTAGGGGAGGGTGATGTCGGAAGCTCTTCTCCACTGTCTCAGGTGGTGATGGGCTCTGTCATTTCCCAGAATACCAGTCGCTCTGGGAAAATGAAATGGTGCAGCCGTTGACTGTGCACAGATAATATGAGGGAAGTCTAGCTGCTGAATGTCTTGAAAGAAATAGAGAATGTCTGTTGTAATCAGATTGTCACTGAAGAGTTCTAAGCATAGCTGCATTTAGAACACCACCATCAACCAAAATAATGCACTAGCCACACTTAAAATTGCGTAGCCATAGAGCAAAGTAGAAACTAGTAATACTGACTAGGCCAATGTTTCCAGATCTAGATGTCATCCTTGGTGTTGAACAAAATGTCTACTACTAACACGGAGCAATTACAGGCTAATAAAATATTAATAGTTACCTGAAACTACGAAGTTTGTGTTGAGGCATCAGGTTGTTGCAAGACAGCTACAATGCACACCACATATTTCAGTATATATTTTTGAATTGTGAAAGCTAAAAATATGTTACCATTTTCATATCCAAGCTTAGGCTCACTTTCTCCGGTCTTCTGAACTAGAATGAATTCTTTTTTTTTTAATGATATTTATTAAAAGTTTAAAAATTACAGAAAAAAGAAAAAAAAAGACAATGAAAAAGAGAAAAAGAAGAAAAAATAAAAAGACATATAAAAGCAATACAACAATACAGCAAAAAAGAGAAACAAAAAAGAAACTAAAACAGAGATCCAATATTCCATATCTTTACCTTTCCTTTACTTGTTTCATCGACCTCCTCGCACCTCCCTTTTTTTGTATTCTAGTTCAATTCACTATTTCAGCAAATTCTTCCCATCTTTCTCAATTTTTATTCTATAATTTATCTTAACGGTCTAACCTTGAATTTTTCCATTTTAACCCATTATCAATCAGCTTTTACTTAATTCTTTGTTGCATTTCTACTAAAACCATATAGCTTCATTCCAGCATCCTTCTAACACTCATTAATTTTACAGTGTTTCTGTAAGTATACTTTAAATTTTTTCCAATCTTCTTCCACCAACTCTTCTCCCTGGTCTCGGATTCTGCCAGTCATTTCCGCCAGTTCCATGTAGTCCATCAGCTTCATCTGCCATTCTTCCCTGGTGGGTAGATCTTGTGTCTTCCAGTACTTTGCAATAAGTATTCTTGCTGCTGTTGTAGCGTACATAAAGAAAGTTCTATCCTTCCTTGGCACCAATTGGCCGACCATGCCCAGGAGAAAGGCCTCTGGTTTCTTCAGGAAGGTATATTTAAATACCTTTTTCATTTCATTATAGATCATCTCCCAGAATGCCTTAATCCTTGGGCATGTCCACCAAAGGTGAAAGAATGTACCTTCAGTTTCATTACATTTCCAACATTTATTATCGGGCAAATGATAGATTTTTGCAAGCTTGACTGGTGTTATGTACCACCTATAAATCATTTTCATTAAATTCTCTTTTAAGGCATTACATGCCGTAAACTTCATACCAGTGGTCCATAACTGTTCCCAGTCAGCCATCATAATATTATGTCCAACGTCTTGTGCCCATTTAATCATAGCAGATTTCACCATTTCATCTTGAGTATTCCATTTCAACAGCAAGTTATACATTCTTGACAGATTCTTAACTTTAGTGTCTAACAATTCTGTTTCCAATTTTGATTTTTCCACCTGGACGCCTAGTTTTTTATCCAAGTTATATGCCTCCATTATTTGGTAATAATGGAGCCAATCCCGTACTCTGTTTTTTAATTTTTCAAAGCTCTGCATGAACTAGAATGAATTCTTTGCACAATTATAATTACAGTCATTCGTACACATTGTGCTTACTCTTCATGCACAATTCTTTTAAGCTGAGAGTAAGAGAAAGCATTTGGTCTCCTAAGTTCCTCATGCTCTACAATGTATTTAGTTTACCTGCCCAGTCTTGTTGTAGTGCTCTAGTTTTGTTCTTTTAATAATCCATCTGCTTCCTTTTGAGTCACATAATAAGTATGATGGGGTATTCATGTGCTTTGCACCTTCAGAGGTTCAAAGCCAGCTTTGAAAAAAGATGCTATTTCCTCTTTAAATACAAACTTTAATAGCATTTGATTCTGCTTTTCAGCTACATTTGGGGCACTGAACAAAATGTGATCAGCACTATAATCCTAGAACCTAGGGTTTTAAGAGTGAATGGTAAGGGCACAGAAAAAGCAACATTTAAATGAATTTAATAAGCTTCCTTCAGATACTGATTCACAGGAATGTTGAGTGCAAGCAAGAGCAGCAGTTAGTCTCTATGTGGAAATAATGCAAAATACATTATGTAAGTAGATTCTGCCGGGGAGCTTATTTCTCTTGTAATCCTGTTCAGAAGCAGAATTTGTTTCCAAATCATGGTGCTTGATTGTCTGAGCTTACCTATTTTGGGCGAGATTTGGAAACTCATTGCTCCTGCCAAAATTAAGGTGACTTAAATGGGTGCACAAACAACCTCCTTGGTGTTTTGAATGCAAGAAAAATACTGTTAAAATGCTATTTTTTATGGTATGTGTAGCAGGGCCATCATGACATTTGGTATATCACAATGTGAATGCAGGATTTTGTTAAGGCATTGGGGTGGATTCATCAAGCATTTGGAGAGTGTTATATAAGTTGAGACAGTTACAGTGGTACCTCGGGTTACATACGCTTCAGGTTACATACGCTTCAGGTTACAGACTCTGCTAACCCAGAAATATTACCTCGGGTTAAGAACTTTGCTTCAGGATGAGAACAGAAATTGCGCAGCAGCGGCAGCAGGAGGCCCCATTAGCTAAAGTGGTGCTTCAGGTTAAGAACAGTTTCAGGCTAAGTACGGGCCTTTGGAACGAATTAAGTACTTAACCCGAGGTACCACTGTATTTAGATGGCTGAAGACAACATAGTCATACTAAGTACTGCAGAATCTTGAGACAGATCATTGCCGTGGAAGTGGGTTTGATATGGAAGCAGCATTAGACTTTCAGCAACTCATCTGTATTTTGGGAAACAGTGATTTGTCAAAAGCCTCCTAAGTGAATTTATGACAGAGTAAGGATTTGAACTCAAATCTCATAGTCAAACTCACAATCTCCATTGAACCAGATGACTCCGTATGTTGGCAGTCTTGATGAACTGTCAGATTAAATCAGTTCAGACCAAGTTCACACCTCCAGTTTTGCACTATTCTGCCATGGAACATGCAGATAGAAATAGAGGCTATCCAGTTGGCAGAATCTTTTTTTTGACTGCATTGCGTCAAGGCTGCAATTTTATGACGGCTTTGGGTGTACTTCATATTTGAATGTTCTCCACCAAATGAACTTTCTGCACATGCTGTTTTTCTATGGCATGTGCTTCACTCCCTCCCTCCCCCAGCATGTGTGTTTGTGTATGAGATGTGTGCACTGCAGAGCATTCCAACATTCAGCTGCCCTCCTTCACTGGTACAGCTCAAGGAAAGCATTCCCACCTGTTTCTGCTGACTATATAAGTTGGCCCAGAGTTATGCTTGCTCTTGGAATACCATTATTCTCTCCCCCCTCCCCAATTTCTCTGTTAAATTTGGGAGTAGAAAAGCTGAGCATTTTCAGTAACTGACAGCTTGGACTGAGTTAGCAGGTTTTTTTTTTACATAATAAGTAGCTTCATAGTGTTACTTAATTCTACGATGTTATTTAATTCCGTGAAGCTACATAACTTGGGCAAGTTATAGAAAATAACCGTTTCTCAGTCCTGGTGGGCAGAGTGTTGATTTTATGCTCATGGCTAATATCAGGTAAAAATGAAATGCCTGTGTTCAGTAGATAAGAGTGTAAATATTGATATTTGATGAATGATCAGACCAGTTCCTCATTTGCACGGAAAAACTTTCCTTAATGCTGAGTGCTTTGTGGTGACATTGAATCAGTTTAGGCCAGCTTTCACCAACTTGGTGCCCTCCAGGTGTTTTGGACTACGATTTCCATCAGCACCAGCCAGCCAGCACTTGCACTATAGCTGTATAGCACAGCCTAGCATGAAGAAGCAACTGCGCAGGTTCCAGGAGAGGAGATGGCAACCACTTTGCTGCTGTGCTAAATCTTGGTTTGGTTTAACATTTTGTCTAAGCCCAAGACAAACCACAAGCTATGGACCATAGTTGATTGTTGTGTCTTCAAAAGCCCCCTTCAAAGTGTTATTTCACACAGCACTTTGAAAAGCACTTCATAGGCCCCTTTGATCCAAGCCAGGTTTTTACCTGCTCTGTTTTTGACATCATACAACATGAAGTATAGAGCAGCTGGGTGTGTCCTGTCAGAAATGGCCTCTTGGGCCAAAAGGGGAGGCCTGGTGGGCCTAATAATGCCTGCAGGCTGGAGGTTCCCCACCCCTGTAAATAAACCCACCCAGTTTTGACGAAAAATGAAGAAATTGGCATGTGCTTGAGAGAGATCAAGAGACTGATGTGGTTCAGTGCAGCAGAGATTCTTTACTTGCAGAAGTGGACAAGAGCAAGGATTTCTCTTCTGCATTTAAGAATTCATTTGAGTGTGACCTTCAGTTTGTTGCTGTTGTGGTAAACCTGTGTCTGGGCTGTGCCACTTCAGATGGCTGGTAGGCTTCTCACGATTGAATACTCCTCCCAGCTGAATACTAGTGTCTTAGCTGGGTGGGCTTTGTGTGCTAGGCTTTCAACCTTTCTCACGGACTTATAGCTTTGCATATGAGGAGAGAGGTGCAGGAGTTTTGTGTGTTTGTACAGAGGAGCATCCACTTGCAGTCTGAAGCAGTACAAACTGGACACTGTTTAACCAACTAAGTCAGAACTAGGCCTAAATCAATCTGTGCCCTGGACATCATGCCTGCATGCCGCTGCTGTTGCAGCTGGGTCCCTAGTCTGGCCATTCTAGCCAGTCTGCCATTTTAAGACTCTACGTCCCTTATAGGCAACGGTAGTAATGCTTCTACTTCCTTATTCCTCTCTCAGATCTATTCCTTTAGGGTGAATGCATGTTTCTCTTGAGTAAAATTGTTGCCATGAGAGATGAAAAGGGTATCAGTTTAACAATTCAGCCACCTTCCCTGTTGTTTTCAGCTGCATGTTTGTTTTTCCAGCCCATAGAATCCCCATCTCTTCTCATGACATCTCCATGAAACAGTCCACTGTGAAATAAAGTAAAATGGAACCGAAAAAAAAACCCTGATTCTGTAATTGGGCATTATGGGAGAATAATATTGGATACATGTACACAACACAACTGTTCTCTCTGCTTCAAGTGAGGCCCTGAGAATAGGGAATGCAAAACAGTTTGTCAGTCTGTGTTCAGGGATTCGAAGGGATTCCAACCCGTGGAGTTTGTCTTTTGGAGTTTTCTGGATTTTTCTTGAAATGCAGTACCATTTTGGGGGCGATTCAAAGGTTTATGGATGCTGTGACCATGTTCTTTGTTTAGCTGAACTGAGGACATTGCTGTGTGAGTAACTTAATAAAAGGCATTAAGTTCTTAGGCACAAGTATAGTCTGGTAATGGCACATTGCAGTCATTACATGAATGTAGCTATTGTGCTTGGGGAGAGCTATTATTGCAAGGAACAGACCTTGAAAGTCTTTACTAGCCTCTGGGGAAGTACTTTCGAGAGTCGTCTGGAGAGCTTTCACAAGGAGTAAAAATTAGACTCCGAGCCTGCTAGTGCCACATACTGTTGTTGGTAGATACTTGAAATGCACAAATCATCATCCTTTAATTATTTTAACAACTTGAAGAAAATGCAACGGGTCGTGATCAGCCTTGTAACGGAGCTTTGACATTTGTTCTTCCTTTCTTTCACAGGCTTACGAAAAAAGGTTTCCTACATGCCCCCTCATTCCCATGTTTGTAGGCAGTGATACTGTGAACGAATTCAAGAGCGAGGACAAGGCCATCCACATAATTGAAAGGCGCTGTAAACTGGACGTAGATGCACCACGGCTCCTGAAAAAGGTAGCTGAATAACAATGGTTGGCCTGAATAGCTGTCTGCAAGGCTGCTGCTACTCCAGTTTAACTTTGCCTCTTCCCTTCTCTCAGATTGCAGGGGTTGATTATGTTTACTTCATCCAGAAGAACTCACTGAACAGAAGAGACCGCACTTTGCACATAGAGGCCCACAATGAGACTTTCTCAAATAGGGTCGTCATTAATGAACACTGCTGTTACACGGTGAGTCAAGGCAGGTTGGTGTGGTTTAAGCCGTTGGGGGCCTTCAGTGGAGGTTTGCACTTTGGCTTTTCCTTCAATAAGAAAGTTTAATGCTGCACATATTTTGCTGGTATTTTTGAGCTGGGTAATTTGTAACAGCTTTTGGGAATTTTCTTGTTTTGGACAGAATCCCACAACACTGAAATATCAGATCTAGTCATATTTAACATTCTGTGCTCAGGCAGTACAAACATATTGAATATGTTAGGACTGGCATGTGTTCAGAACACTTCATTTTCATTCTGATTTAAGTCTGCACGGGTGCTAGCAGGTGTTCAGACTCCTAGGATATGATGCAGGTGAGCCGACAAGTTCTTGTCCCAGTGTCTTTTAAACTTGCAGACAGCCATGATTTGTTTTTTTAGGAAAAGCAGACAATCAATGCAAGGGAAAGAACTCTGTTGCATGCATAAGTTTCCACATTCTTGCCAACAGGAAAATCTAAATACATGGGGAAATAGGCATATAAATCAAGCCTATGTTCGCTGTCTGCTTTTTTTTCTTTTCTTTTTCTTTTAAAGAGCTGAAAAAGCTAGAGCTAGCAATTCAGTTTCTTCAGTTTTAGGCTGCTGCTTCTCATCAGAGAGGTGACAACATCGCAGCAGCCATAAAAACTCTTAGCTGCTAAGAAGAAATAGGAGTAGTGTGTGGCATTTTGAATACTAAAACCCAATTTTAATTCTGGCTGCTAATCCCAAACATTTAATATTCCTCTAGAATTACTTTGAAGGCATCCACCATAATCAGTCATAATTTTCCAAGTAGAATTAATTTAGCAAAGTACAGGAGTTGCCTGCCCAAGTTAAATGTGCCAGATCTCTGCTTTCAGCCTTGCCATATGCAGAGTTATATTAGCCTAATTAATAAACTCCAGTGAATGTAGGAATGCCTAAGTCTGCACAGGAACAGGCTGTTAAATTCCTTATGCCATGAGTTAGACAATGCACAGCAATTCCTTTCTCTGTGGCAGTTTTCAGGATGACTTGTGTGATTTGTGACAGGAATTGAGAAAAGTTGACTTCTGTGATGGTGGAAGCCATGTTGAGAAACTAGCGAAGAGTTGTACCAATAACTTGAATGTGAATACTTGGAATAGTTCTGCTGAAATGCAGGGATTACACATGTGTCTTGCCTTTTTGGATCTTGAAATGGGTCTAAAAACCAAGAGAACTGAAAACTCATAAACATGAGATTTACAGAGCCCACTTAGGTCGATTACTATTTTAAAACCTAAGTCCTTGACCAAAGTACATTGGCAGTATTAAGCCACTGTGGTTTACATTGCATAGTGGTGCAGCTTTAAACTAAATCTTAGTTGTGTTGTGCATTGGTGAGCACGCCAGTTGGCTGCACTAAAAAAGAACATGGTATGCTGTACTTCAGAATTTCTTGTGATACTTGATCAGGTTTCTCACACTATGTGCCAACCTTTTGTTTCTCAACACCACAGGTGCATCCAGACAATGAAGACTGGACATGTTTTGAGCAGTCTGCAAGCCTTGATATTAAATCTTTCTTTGGATTTGAAAGCACAGTAGAAAAGATTGCCATGAAACAATACACCAGCAATATTAAAAAGGTGAGCTTTCAAGTTTGCAACTCCTTGGCCTGCTGGCTCTCGATATTGCAGCTGGAGTGATTTTGAGCCCATTTGGGATTTGTCCGGCCAGGTTCGGCTTTATTGGTGGCTGCTCTTGTCTTCTATGAATGGTATTTTTACCATTCTTATTTAGACAATATTGATTAATCTGCTCTTGTTGCAAATAGAGGAGCCTGCGTGTGCACTGACTTTGTGATTTGACAATTGATTATGCGGTTCCTGGAATGCATCATAGGTGCTTAAACTCTTTGTTATAACAAAGTAAATAAAGATACTGCTTTTTTTTTATCCCCCTAGAGGCAGTTGCCCAACTGCAAGCATGGCTTGGATAGGCAGTACTTTAAATCATACTGTGCGAAACAGCATGCAACTTTAGAAGAAGTTTCCCCATAAGAATAAAACAACTTGTCAAAAATAGGAGGTTGCCTAGCTTATTGTGCCCAGGCTTTAACCTGTCTGTAATTGCTCAATTGCCTTTGTCAAAAGTGGGAGCTCCATGCTTCCCAGACCAGCTGTATCCATACTTGGCCAAAAAGCAGTTGGTGGGCAAACACATTGCCCTAGCTCTCCTTGTGACTTTTGAGTTGGTGTAGTTCCTGCCCACCTAGCAGTTAGAAAGCACGTCAAAGTGCAAGTAGATAAATAGGTACCGCTCCGGCGGGAAGGTAAACGGTGTTTCCGTGCGCTGCTCTGGTTCGCCAGAAGTGGCTTAGTCATGCTGGTCACATGACCCGGAAGCTGTACGCTGGCTCCCTCGGCCAATAAAACGAGATGAGCGCCGCAACCCCAGAGTCGGCCACGACTGGACCTAATGGTCACGGGTACCTTTACCTTTAAGTACCATGGAAATAGGTTCATTCTTTTCTAAACTAGTTCATGCTCTAGGGGGGTGGGTGATGCTGAAATGTAGAAGCATGTAGTGGGGCTCTCAGTGTCTTAGAGTACACCTTGTTTTACATAAGGAAGAACTAATAGTGCAATTTTCTCTGAAAACTTATGCCCAAAGAGGAGTGCATTGACTAAAGAATTGCCTTGTTTTCAAAGGGCAAAGAAATAATTGAGTACTACTTGAATCAGCTAGAAGAGGAGGGAATTAATTATATTCCTCGTTGGAGTCCCCCGGCTAAATTTACGTTTGAACATGGTGCATCTCATGTAAGGCGGCCACTGTCCCCTCCAATCAACATACCTGAAACTACCACCAAGGAGGGACTCAGCCCTAAGGAAATCAACAATTGCAACAATGCATCAGAGCCCACAGCTGGAACACCCGATGGTGCGTTATTTGCCTGCCCTGTCTGCCTTTTGGGGTTATTTTGTGTCTCTCCATTAATATAACAGCTATAGTTTATAAGTAAGGAGTTGGTGAATCTCTATTTCTGTGCTGAACGTCTTCAATTTCTGTAGCCAAATTTCATGATTTTGGCCACACAGCATAAATAGCACAAACAACTGTACACTGATATGTTTTCAGATATAAAATCTGTAGGTTGCATTTTATTAACAGACTTTGAATGAGGGAAAGGCACCCAGTATTGACTAGGCTGATGCCTAGCTGGAGCTGGTGGAAGAAAAACAGCTCAGCTAGTAGCATTTCATTCTTTTCAAACTATGTATTAAAAATGGCAGCTTGCTCTGCAAAAGGACAAGCCGGAGCTTCAACTTGAAGAATGTATACTGAAAGCCATTTGTTAATTGATCCAGCAATCATTTATTCTAATAGTATTTGTGTAAATAATGGTTTCAGACAAGCTGGATGCAGACTACATCAAGAGGTATTTGGGAGATTTGACACCACTTCAGGAAAGCTGCCTCATCAGGCTTCGGCAGTGGCTCCAGGAAACGCACAAAGGCAAAGTAAGTATCTGTCTCCCTTCTTGACTTCCCGTTCATCAGAAAAGTGCACAGCATGCAAGATGATCTGGCAGCATGTCAATAATCCATCCAAGGGAATGGACATTTTTACATAAGATGGCCTTGAACTAGTTTGAACCTGATACCTTTTAGTTTTTCTGTGTGCTGTAAAAAGTCTAATCTTTAAATCTACTTCCCAGAGTGCAGAGACCAGATGCTTTTATACTTAAAGAAAACAAAGCTTTGGCTTGGTAGCCTAGATATCCTTTCATATATGCTAAAGGTTATGTATTGTAGAAGCATAAAATTGAAATGTCAACAAATCAACCAGTTTTACTGTGTCCTGCTTGGAGATTGATTTAGTTGCTTGCAAGGAGGCTCCTGTTAACGACATTCCTCCGTTAACCACTGCCATGCCTTTCTCATAGCATAGTTTGAAAGCATGCAAGACTGCACACGTGGGCAGGTGGTCTGTAATTCATGGAACGTTGCACTGAGATTATATGACTAGCATAAAAGCTAAAGGCCAGTTGGACATGCAAATACATCTTTCCTGCAATACCGCAACAGTCAAATTCCAATTTCCTGTTTTGTTCTCCCTGCCTTCCACAGCAAGTACTTCAAGAGTAAGCTATTTAAAATAAAAGTTAGCTTCAGTTCTAAGTCTGTAGTTTAGGGAGAAAACTTCACATAGGAGAGAGATGGGCACAACGTGATCCAGGGAATTGTGAATAGCTGTGGATGCTCAAGGAATGTACCCCACTAGTGGTAAATACGTATTTGTTGGTGTATAGCACACGAGGCTACCCTAAATTTGAAGGCAGCTTTCCACATAGTAAGTACCTAGCTAAACTCAATTTGAAGCCAAAGCTTCCAGCTCCACATTAGAAGCCACATTGTGCCCTGATCTCTTGGTATGTATGTGCTACTTAAAATGTATTGTGGTTCATTTGTTTGCAAAATCAATGTAGCATCCCCCCCCCCCCCGCCTCACCAGCTTGCAAAGTTTCTGTGCCCCTCTGCTCACCAATGTGGTGGTTTGTTCACACCGGCCTGTGCTTTTTGTGTTTCCTTAAGTTTCTTTCTTGCACTTTCCTTCTATCATAAGTCAGCTTGTTCACTCCTACAGCTTCCAGTTTCCATCCAGTATTTAGACATGGTCATTTTCTCTAGCCTAATATTATCTTTAGAGCTATAGGGCAGAAGCTCAGTTTAAATCACTTTTAAATCATGATTATGTCATGTTAGCATCTAGAATGTCTGATTTAATTTGGCTCTATTAGCAGTAAAAGAAAAGGATGCTTCAAGCATTACCTCTCACCACTCTTAAGTAATTTTCTGATGTAGAGGCCAAAAGTTGATTATATTTTCAAAATCTGGGCTATATTTTGTTCCAGATTTGTAAGTACTAGCGCTCTTTCTTTCAAACCTGCTTATTTTTATGCTATCTGCCATATAAGCAAAATCTCCTTAATTACTTTCCCAATATTTACTTAGTTGCTTGATCTTCAATGCAGATGTATCCCGGCTTAACTCTGTTATCCAGTTCACTGCAAAACCCTTGAGTGTCTGCCATTTCACTTCTCGTCTCTTAAATGTCTTGCCTGATTGTACCCATTTTTCTGTGGATTAAACTAAAGAACTGATGACATTTCCATCTGATTTTTTTGAACAAAAATCTCCTCACAGCTTTGATTTGCTATTTTCTCATACCCCGCTCTAGCTGTTCATCTCTTTAACACACATTTTCATTCTGGTCTGCTTGGAGGTGGCATAAAGTAATGCTTTTCAGGATGGCGTTGTAAGTCAGTTATAGTTTAACACAGATAGAGCAAAGGAATAACAAACAACTTTCTTACAAAGTGTGCAAAAACTTCCCAGCTTGCTTTTTTCCCTCTTGGGGCACATGAACAGCAATGCTGTGAATGGCAAAGTGTGCTGTGCTGTGGTCATTGTCCACAAAAGGGGGTAAACTGACAAGTGCTATTGGGAATCTCATTCAGATTTTTAATCCTATTTTTGTGTTTGTATGCGTGCGTGTGTGTGTGTGTGTGTGTGTGAATAGGAGTCTCTTTCTTTCACTGATTGCCTCCTGTTAATTGCTAAAAGTCTAACAGCTATACTATAGCAGAAAACATACAACCACCCCGTTTTACTATTTCTTGCTTACTCCATCTTTTCTCATCCAAATTTCATGGAATTTGTAGAGAGGGCTTCAGTAGTTTTCTTTGCTGTTCTCTTGATGCTTGTATCCCTGCCTGCAACCATGATGTAAAGACCTAAATGGAGATGCTGTAATCCAAACTGTGTGTTGTGACCCATTAGTGTGTCGGCTTCAGTGTGTAGGTGTGTCGCATGAACACTCCTCGTGCTCCTCCCAGGGAAAGGGATTACATTAACCTCTGGTTTGCTAGTAAAACTGAATTGCTGTGTCATGAAATGATGCATGTCTAAAAAGTGTGTTACCAACATGAAAAGTTTGGAAAGCTCTGCTACAACCTGTATTCGTGGGCAATAGCTATTTTTCTTCTTTAGTTCTCTACTGCTGGTGTCTTCCTGGTTCTCCATGAGTGAAAGGGATGGGGACAGCCTCATCTAAGAGAAACTTCCTTTGACTCATGTGCACCATCTAAAGAGCATGCAATACCTAACACTATTGTTTTATCAAAGATACCGTAAGCCACCTTGGGTTGGCAATTTGCCTCAAAAGCTGGTGTAAACATTAATGCAAATACTAGAACAAGTTATTTATGCAGAGTAGATTTAAATCTAATCAATTAAGGTAGCTGCCCCAGTTTTCTGCTCTGAGGGTATAAAATGGATATTGCTCAGTAGCAAATGAAATTCACCTCCACCGTTTAGATAACTTTGGAATCAGCTGGTTTGTAACTTTCAGCCCCCTTTCGCTGATGTTTGCAGATCCCAAAAGATGAGCATATCTTACGATTCCTGCGTGCGAGAGATTTCAACATTGACAAAGCCAGAGAGATCATGTGCCAGTCCCTAACGTGGCGTAAGCAGCACCAGGTGGACTACATCCTGGAGACTTGGAACCCTCCTCAAGTACTTCAGGATTACTATGCTGGAGGCTGGCACCACCACGACAAAGGTAGAGTAGCCCTGCTGCCCTATGTAAGCAAAGGTTGTTAGACCATTATTCACTTTGGCTGGTATGTGTAGCAAAAGGAGCCATAGGAAAGGTTCTCTGTAAATTTTTAAAATGTCCCTTGAACATTCCTGCAGAGGTAGTAACAAAATGCTTCTGAATCACTACGCTGTTTTCAAGCATCATTCGGGCAAGATTGAAGTCATGAAAGCATAGTTTTCAGAAACATGGTGTAAAAGACACACACAGTGTGCATTTGTTGGAACAAGCGAGGAGATGTGTCTGTTATCTCTGCTGCTAAAGATAGTGTTTTAAACAAAATATTGCCACTGTTAAAATTACTCGGCCCCTGAAAGCTGTGCTTCAAAGAATAAAAGCTGGCAATAATGTATATTGGAATTCTGAGAAATTCAGCTTGATTTTTTTAAATAAAAAAACTAGCCTTCACTGTGGGGAAAAAATAATAATGCTTTACTGCATCAAGTTGTGCTTTAAGTGAAATGCCTAAACTTTTAAAGGGGCTCACAGCAACTTTTGTCTTTTTTTGTGTGTGCCAAGTATTCTGCTTTCAAGTACTAAAGCTTCTACAGTTTTCTCACAAACTTATAAAATATTTTATTCAATCCTCAAAGCCACACACTTTGGGTTAAAGAATAGTTTTAGGTTTTCATCTAGCTGCATTCCATTAATAGCTCAGACTGTAGGAATGTTAAGCTTTCCCAAGGCTCTTCTGCCTGAAGCTACAGTTATTCAGATAAAATTGAAAGATACAATTATTCAGATAATATTGACCAATACATTAAATTGGTCCCGCAGCCTAAATTTTTTTATAGCTTTGTGCCAAGTTGCCAGCATTGTCCTGTTTCCTACAATGTTAATGAGAACATACAAAGTGTGTTTCTCCCTCTCCTTCACCCCCGGATTCTTGCTAATACAAGTTGCTAATGAGGTGGTGGAGTTAAGCTATGCCAAAGTTCAGATTTCCTTTGCAGCCAAGGAGTGACAGTTGCTTTCATAGAAACCAAAGTTGCCAAGCAAACACTGATCATTCTAGTTGCCCTTGCAAAACCACAGTTGCCGCTGTTCTTTTTTGTTCAGATGGGCGTCCACTGTATGTGCTGAGACTTGGCCAGATGGACACCAAAGGTTTGGTGCGAGCTCTCGGGGAAGAAGCCTTGCTTCGCTATGTAAGTGCCTTTGATGCCATGTGTTTTGGTAGTGAACACAATGTTCCTGTTTTATAGTTCTGCTTCACATTAGAAAGATGAGCACACTGTGGCTGTCTTCGTCAATCTGTGTTCTTTTTTCACACTGTTCTGCCAGAATATCAGAAGTTTTGTTTTGTTCTTTGTGGGTTGGGTGGAGTTGTCTTACTTTGTGGTTTACATATGCAGGAAGGTGAGGTGGTGGAATCCTGAGGTCATAGAGTGGCTTGCATTACCTCCGGTTGTAGGTGGTGGGTTGTTGTTTTTTTAATGTTCCCATTTTAAAAATAAAAACGTCAGCATGCAAAGGGGGAAAAGAAGCGCATTAGGGGGGAGTTTCTAAGCCAGCTTGTTTCCCATTTGCCAGGTTTCTAGTGTGTGCAGGGGGGTTACATTATTGGCAAACTAGCACATTTTGTTAGACTGAAAATAACAAAGAACTCCAGTTTCCGTGCATATAGAATTCTGGCTGCTCCCACCTAGCCCAGGCCTTCCATTATCCAGAGGAATTTCATATTCTAAAGTCTTTCTTAATTGTATACTTACTCCAGTCTCTCTCCCCCACACCCCTACCTCACATTCCTACCACATTTTTTGGGGGGGGGGCTCAGTTCAGTTTCTGAGACTTCCAAACATGAGGATCGGTAACTTTTCTATTATTGCTGACAAACATAAAGCAGAAACATAATGCAGAAATTAAGTTAGGGGAACATCAGAAAAGTTTGTAGAATCAGTGAATTGGGAAAGCAGGAATGGGATGATTATCTCCTTTCAAAGGTAAAACAGAGATGATAGTAGCAGTTCTCTTTGTCCCGATTTTCACCATGGCTATTCTGCTACAACATCTCTGCAATATCCTTGTTTCTCATTTTTGTGTGTGTGTGTGTGTGTGTGTGTGTGTGTGTGTGTTTAGGTTCTCTCTATTAACGAAGAAGGACTGAGGAGGTGTGAAGAAAATACAAAAGTGTTTGGAAGACCTATAAGGTAAAAGAGAATAGCTGTTAAATGAAATATGATTAGTGGAATGCGAAGTGTTGAGAGACTCCATGCTAATCACTCTAAGATTGATTCATATGTTAGCTAAGGGGATATACCCCATATTGTGAAATTCCTGTGTATGAGGGCTCCAACCTGTCCCCGTGCCCACAGGTACAATGGCACGCCATGTTTGGCCACTGCAGTGCATCATGCCCAAAGCCATGATTTCAAAGTGAGGTGCATGGCCCACATATGAATTAGGAGGACACATCTCACATGAGTTTCAGCCAAACGTTTAGGAAAACATGGAAAACAGCTTTCCAGGCCTTATGTGGCACTTAGAAGTAGATTTTCGCCTGCTCCACATTCAGGGTGAAGACAGGTTGTCATCCCTCACACCCAGAGTATAGATGAAAGGGAGTTTTGTGACATTGGGGACTCCCTTGAACAGGCATGGTCAAACTTGGCCCTCCAGCTATTTGGGGACCACAACTTCCATCATCCCTAGCTAACAGGACCAGTGGTCAGGGATGATGGGAACTGTAGTCCCAAAACAGCTGGAGGGCCAAGTTTGGCCATGCCTACCCTAGAAGCTTTGAATGTCGTCAGTTCAGTGATGAAACCAACAACTAAGGCAAGGGGGCTAGAGTAAAACAACTTTCTAGTGACTGATACAAACCTCTTCAGCAAATCTGATTTTGGGGGAGGGGGGCTGTGGGGAGGTTTTTGTTTTGTTTTAAAAAGACACATTTAGTAAGTTCATTGCCTTTGCTTTGGGGCAAACAGTTGTTGGACCTGTTTGGTGGATCTGGAGGGGCTGAACATGCGGCACTTATGGAGGCCTGGCGTCAAGGCTTTGCTAAGGATCATCGAGGTAGTCGAAGCCAATTATCCGGAAACCTTGGGGCGCCTCCTCATTCTGCGAGCTCCCAGGGTGTTTCCAGTCCTCTGGACACTGGTACGTTCATCTGCTTTTGTCTCTCTTGGGACCTGTGCTTTGGAAAATGGGACCCAGCCCTGTACTATAAAATAGCCATGGTCAACACTTGCAACGTTTTTTTATAGGGAGCATCATTTCTGTAACCAAAAACAATCCAGTTACATACAGTAGTAATGTGGCCTGGTGGAATAGTTCACCTCTTGAGCATGCCACTTTTATGAGTATCACCAATAGTAAAAGTATCCTCTTGAAGCCATTTGAGGATACGGGGACTCGACTCACTTGGTGTCAACAGCCTTCTTGGCAAGTGAGTCAGCGCACAAAGTTGCAGACAGGCAGAGCCACAGGGAGAAGCAATTGGAGGCTGTAATCTACCCCCTCTAGAAAGAGGAGTGGCTGCACCCTGCCACTCATTTAGGTACCCCAGAACTTCCCACTGTGTCTCTGAAGCTGCCTCTTTCACCTCAAAGCCAATGAGCTACCTTTTTAACTTAGTATTTTACTTGCAGGTCAGTCCATTCATTGATGACAACACAAGAAAGAAATTCCTGATCTATGCTGGCAATGACTATCAAGGACCCGGTGGGCTGTTGGATTACATTGACAAAGAAATCATTCCAGATTTTCTTGGTGGAGAATGCATGGTTAGTAAACAGTAGTTGTAGCAGAACTGCTTTCATTGATTATTTTCTTTATTCCATAACATTTCTACACTGCTTGTTTGTAAAAACCACCACCACCCAGAAGTGGTGCACAGCAGATAAAAAGAAAAAATGTACAACCCTATGTTAAAATATGCAAACGTTTAAATACTAATACAGATTAAAATTACTTTAGCTTTCTAAACATCTGGGTAAAGGTAAAGGGACCCCTGACCGTTAGGTCCAGTTGCAGACTACTCTGGGGTTGCAGTGCTCATCTCACTTTACTGGCCGAGGGAGCCGGCATACAGCTTCCGGGTCATGTGGCTAGTATGACTAAGAGCAGCGCACGGGAACACCATTTACCTTCCAGCCAGAGCGGTACCTATTTATCTACTTGCACTTGACGTGCTTTCAAACTGCTAGGTTGGCAGGAGCAGAGGCTGAGCAATGGGAGCTCACCCCGTTGCGGGGATTCGAACCACCAACCTTCTGATCGGCAAGCCCTAGGCTCTGTGGTTTAGACCACAGCGCCACTCGCGTCTGGGTAGGCTTGTCTAAACAGTAATGTTTTTAGCAGGTGCCGAAAATAGTACAGTGGAAGGCACCTGCTTAATCTCAATAAGCAGGGAGTTCCAAGTGGAATTGAGTTCTTACAAATGCAGAACAGATATTATGTGGCAACCTGTAAGTAGTGGCAGTTACACTGATCCAAGCGGTCGAGTGGCCATGTGTAGGGTAAGGCGATCTTGTAGGCAAACTGGTCCCAGGTTGTTACGGGCTTTATATACGAATAGGAACACCTTGAACTTGGCCCGGTAGCAAATGGGCAACCAGTGCAGATCTCTGAGCAGAGCTGTGTTATATGCTGACATCGGGCTTGCACTCTTGCTATGGCATTCTGCACTAACTGCACCTTCGGGATCAAGCACGAGGGAAGCCCCACTGTCAAGTGTGTAAACCCCCCCCCCACACACACTATTCCCTACATTCAGATAACTCAATCAGTGGAGCACACTGCAATTCTAATTAACAAATGCATCTAGAATCTCTGGTTCCCTGAAAGGTTGTTTATACTCATGCAGTTCTCAGGGTTACCCAACTCTGCTAAAGATCACCTTGTGTGGCTGTTGCCATTTTGGCTGTAAAAACAACAGCACCAGGTGAATCGCATAAGAATATGGGGTGGAGGGTCTAACCCTCTATATAAATTTTCCAAACAGACAAACTTGCAGTTTGGTCTTGTTGAACCAATATGAAATTGTAAGGGGTGGGACACACACACAGTTTTTAAAAACCAATTCACATGTGTTCTTCGGTGTCTTTGTTCAATGATAACTCACATCCATTAAGAGCTTTACTTCTGAGCAGATTCTTTCTGAGGTGTGATCTGTTTGAGTAGAGATCTAATTCTGATTTTTCTCTCCCTTCCACCTTAATTAACTCTCTGAAGTGTGAAGTTCCAGAAGGTGGGCTGGTTCCCAAATCTCTATACCGTACAGCAGAAGAACTGGAAAATGAAGATATAAAGTTGTGGACAGAAACAATTTATCAGTCTGCAAGCGTCTTCAAAGGAGCTCCCCATGAGGTGACTTTCCTTGTTTTCTTTCTTGCATCCAATTGTCTATCCATGACAGACAAGCTCAGGTCTTCATTGGTTTGACATGGGCTTCATGCCAACTTTGTGCAATTAGAGGTGCTTCAGATGATATTTCAGCTGGTCCACTCTCAAAATAATTGTTCAGCTCAGTAGAGGAATCTTCTTCTTCTCTTCCACAGTTAGAAAAATGCTACCTTAAGCATTTTCTATTCACAGCAGAGGAGCTCAAATCTTATTCAGCTTTGTTCAGCTGTTTTGTTAGTAATGCAAGCCGGCCTCACATGAACAGTTATTGGTAAGAGTGGACTTTCTGAAACATCTTCTTAGTTCCTTCTAAGTCCTTTCTTATGAGCTTGTGTTGGTGAACAATGCTGAAATAAGGGGAAGAAGTAGAGAGGCACACAACTCCACCCCCATTTTTAGTCTAACATTGCTTTCCTGCAGTCTGCTAAAAGTAGTAGCAAGGGGGCTGCCTCAAAAGATAAGGGGGTCAAGCCCTTCTGGCCCACCTGTAATTTGAGCACTGCTCAAATGACTGTTCCTAGTCCTGCTGTGAAGGCAACCCTTGACTCCCCCCCCCCCTTACTAAACTTTTTTTTGCAGAAAACAAGATGCGGTGCACTTTGAATACACTCAGTTGGTGCCTGTAGCATACTTTTAATCTACATTTTTATTATGTGGTAACTGGAAGAATATTGATGCAGTTGAGCCACCTATTTTCCCCCAGCAGCATTTATTGAAGGGCCAGTCTTTTAATCTGCATTTCCTTAAAGCAGCAGGATGGAGATATGCTAGATGTAGAAACTGTCTTTCTCCAGTGTCTTTCGATCACTGGAAAGCCTATATTATTGTCTTATTACTTGGCCTTCACCTTAAGGTCCCAGGGCAGGTTACAACAATTAAAAACACATCATCATTAAGAAACCTCAACATTGCAAAAAACCACAATCACAAAAATTATCATCTAATAAGAATAACAATAACATCTAATGAAAAGTAACAAAAGTTCAGACAATTGCCTATATTATATTTATACTTCCAACTATTCTGCATTAGAAGTATTCAAGGCTGTTTTTTAAAAAGAGATTACTTTGCCCATGCCATCGGATGCATCCAGTTAGATGCTCTCTCATGCTGCTTTAACATCCAACTATTGACAAACAGCGAGCTTTCAAAATGGCAGCAAGGGCTGCCATATCTCCTTGCTGTCATAAAGCCAAGGGTGAATTCGTTCTTCCCCAACCCCCTTTTCTATGGCTTCTGAAATAACATGCTTTTTTATTTATTTAATTGTAGGGCCTAAATGAAAACTGACTGTGTAATTTGACTTTGTACTGCTTTTTAAAATGTTTGTTTGTAAATGTTACACAGTTGGATGCAGAAGCAATTAAACTCTTGCATCTGGCTACAGAATCCCTCATAGCAGGTTTTGTAGCAAATATAAACACAATGGGTTTCTACGCCAGAGCATTCGAAGTGTGTGGAATTTGACAGCAGCACCAAATTGGCTCTTCTCATTGAAAGGCTTTTTGCTTTGACCGAGCTTTTAATATAATTATCCTCCAACTCTCTAGATCTTCATTCAGATTGTGGAAGCTTCGTCTGTGATCACCTGGGATTTTGATGTTTGCAAAGGTGACATTGTATTTAACATCTATCACTCCAAGAGGGCACCACAGCCTCCGAAAAAGGACTCCCTGGGGGCCCACAGCATTACTTCTCCCGGTGGCAATAATGTGCAACTGATAGACAAAGCCTGGCAGCTGGGGCGGGACTACAGCATGGTGGAGTCTCCGCTTAGCTGTAAAGAAGGGGAGAGCGTGCAGGTGAGAACCAGCCTCTAAGCAAAATCCATGTTGTTAGGTTACTTTCAACTGGCTTCTACCCCAAACAGAAGTCACTGGAATTGGTAACAAGAGACTACAGCAGGGGTTGGGAAACCCATGAGACTCTTGATATCAGAGTTGTGGGTTTGAGCCCCATATTAGGCAAAAATCTCCTGCATTGCAGGAGGTTGGATTAGATGTCCCTCTTGATCCCTTCCAATTCTATGCCCTTGGAGATGTTTTGACTCCCAATGCAACATCAACCCCAGCTAGCGCAACTTAAGTGATGATGGGAGCTGTAGTCAGTAATGCCTCAAGGGCTACAACACTCTTGGGGTGGGCTATCTGATCACAACCAACAGTAACTGGGCAGATCTAAGAGAATTCTTAAGTTCCGATGAATAGTTGCCTTGCGTCATGAGTGGTCTTATTGAATGTATGTAGTCTTACTGTTTGCTGTGGAATGGTAAGGGATTTTAGGATGGTGCTGGTCAGTTTTTAAAAGGAAAGCCCTGGGATTGCCAGCCACTTCCTATCCCCAGATATATCAATCAAGTATTTGAGAAGAAGATCCAGCCAATGGGGGTTGGGGGAGCTGAGTATCACCACAACTGTAAGGCTGAAACACTTTGCAGCCCATCAGTTTCCCACAACACTAAAATGGCCACATACAACATTCTGAGAGGTGATTATCTAGCTGTGAGTCCTGGAAGACCTGGTTCCTATGGTCCATCTGGGGAAGGTGGGGCCTTGACTGACTCCAGCTATAAAGGCTAAACCTTCTGTTCAAGTTGCCTACAGGCCACCTGCATGGGGTTTGTTTCAGGATTGTTGTTGGAGTAAACAGTTTTAGAGAAGATTTATACTGCTGCTTCTTCACTATGAGTCGCAAACCAGAGTTGTGAATGAAGCTCATTGGGATTCCCTCCCCCCCCCCCCCCGCTTTGCTTTCAGGGGTCCCATGTGACAAGGTGGCCTGGTTTCTACATTCTCCAGTGGAAGTTTCACAGTATGCCTGCTTGTGCTACAACCAGCCTGCCTCGTGTGGACGATGTCTTGGCATCTCTACAGGTCTCATCTCATAAGTGCAAAGTGATGTACTACACAGAAGTAATTGGGTCAGAAGATTTCAGGTATGCTTTTGCAAGCACCATGCCAGGGAAATCCTAATGGAAAGACCCCTGAAAGGAAAATAAAAAATAGTTCTTACGATTTGCTTGGTTGAAAGGCAATGCCGTGAAGGCCTTTTAAACATGGAAGAAGGGTCCTTGCAGTTCTTCCACTTTGCCAGAATTGCTTAGAACAGCAATGTTGTGAAAGTACTTATTGCACATCAAATACGAGTATTAAGTAAAGTTGGCAGGAACTAGGGAAAGAAAGGGGGAGGGAGGGAGGTGAAGCTTTTGTGAATAGAGTTACCTGACCACCAAGAATCAGGGATGCAGCAGTAAAACTGCTAGCATGTTTGCAAAGCTAAGCAAGGTCCAGTATGGTTTCAAATTGGAGGGAGGATCATGTGCATTTCAAAGGGTTGGACTAGATGACTGTTGGGATCCATTTTAGCTCTAAAGGGCTCTAAAGCTGAAAGGATCCTAAAACTGCACGTATATTTTGTGAAGGAACAGATTCTCATGAAGCCGAACTCGTATGTGAAATGCCTACTTGAATACCTCTAATGGTGGTTGTGTGCAGAATCTAGAGTAGACAACCTGAAAAGTTGGTTGCCCCTAGTTTCAGATGCAGTTGGGCCCAAAGATCACAAAACTGCCTCACTCTGGCTGCATAGTATTGTGCAAATCCATTGGCATATTTAAAACTTCGTGGTTTGGATACAACCTGCATTTAAGGAGAGCTTTTAAACAAAATATCTGGTTCTCATTCAAGAAGGTCAGAAGTGAAAGAAATCTCTTTCTCTATATCTGAACATTATCTTGAATTGAAATTCTTTCAAGGGCATTAAGGACGGAGAATTCTTAAATATTTTCCTACTGAACCAAGGGTTAAATTGAAATTTAGATTGAAGAAAAGAACCCCCCATTCACTCTGGTTTCTTGGGTTTACCTTACCATGTAAATCGGAGATGAGCAACTTTTTAATTATTATTATTATTATTATTATTATTATTATTTCTGTTGAGGACAACATTCCTTTTATGGGAGCTCATATGCTGGTGGTGGGCAGAGAATATACAGAGGTTTTTTATTAAAAATAAATAAATAAATAGTGCAACAAACCAATACAGCTACTGTTCTGGAAAGCACAGGATAATGCCAAGGTTGCAGGTTCTATCTCTGTATGGGACAGCTGGAGACTGCATTGCAGGGGGAAGGACTAGATGATCCGCAGGGTCCCTTCCAACTTCTGTGATTCTATGTATGAGAGAGGGAACTTCCACCCAACCAGGATAATTAACAAAAGCAAAAAGCAAAACAAAAAAACCCACAAGTTTGTATAATACCTTACTATCTGTCTCTTTTGCAGAGGGTCCATGAGCAGCCTTGAATCAAGTCACAGCGGATTTTCTCAGCTCAGTGCTGCTACAACCTCTTCCGGCCAGTCTCACTCCAGCTCCATGATTTCCAGGTAGTGCCACTGCCAGCCAAAAGCCAGTTGATGAGATGGCCGGACCCTCGTCTGTGGCAGCCAACTGCAATACAGCTTAATCATCGGTGACAATTGCAAAAACAAAAAAACATGTGGAAGGCCTTTTTATAGATAGTAAAGTAGCTGTGTGTGCATTTAATTATACTGGTTTTGTTTTGAATTAGAGCTGAAAGCGTATCCAGTCTTAATGCGGTAACCATAGTATTTCCCCCCTTCCCCAATCATAAACATGCTTGCACAAATCCTAACCTGGACATGCAAGGGCTGTTTTGCAATGAAAGGCGTAATCAGTGTGGTTGAGAATTTATTTTTTAAAATACCATCCTTTCAAGACATTCTATAGTGCATTAGAAATCTAACCTAAAGCTCCTGCCAGTGAGGTTCTCACAAAGCTCAAAAACACTTCCTCCTTTTGTTGCGCTGTGAGAGTCTTCCTCTGCTTCTGCCCAGCATTTAGGTCTAGAGGAAGGCAGTAGCTAGAATACTTAACATTTCATGAAGTGCCAGCGGGTGCCTGGCTGAACTGCTTACCTTTTTCTCTAGCTCTGTCATAGGTGAGTGCTGCCTTCGGCGGAGGAAGCAGGATTTCTGGTCTTCTCAGGCAGCCCTTTTGACATTCATACATTTCACTTAATCTCACTGCTAAGGGCTTAATAACTCCAGCTTTGGGCATTGAAGGGTTTTTCAGGTCTATAAAGTTACACCTCTGAGCACTGAAGAGGACAGAGCAGACTTGTTTCAACATCCTAAACTTCCGGAGCCCCATCTGCCCCAACTTGCATCTTTTCACCCTGAACCCACTGAATGCTGGCCAGCTCTTCTGCTCTTCTGCCAAGAGCTGATGAGTGGAAGGGGGTGGCTCCTCTTTTCTCAGATTCTTATCTGTCCTACAACTGCAATGAAAATCTCACATGTCACTAAGATGCCACCGCATCCTGTCCAGAACACAAGTGTAGTCTGCTGTGGCTACAATTATTGCAGCTTCAATTTTCCTATAACCAGGGCTTTAATTACTATGCTAAGTGCTCTTTTAAGCACCCGTCCCCTGCTACTTCCTTAATATTTGAGAGACTTCAGCTTGAAACCTTGCATGTATTTTTTGGAAAGCTCAAAACATTCAGCCAGTCTTAGAAGTTTGCTGTGTTGCATCAGACCTTAGTAGCCAGCTAGTTAAAACATTTCAAAGGCTGCAAATTACTTGGAAAAGCGGGTAGCGGCTGAAGTTGTATCCTCTTCAACCCACCCCAGATCTGAAATATATTTAAAATAAAAGCCCCTTGTTTATAAATAGAACTAGGCCAGAGAAGGAGCTTGCAGAATATGATGGTGCTGTGCTCTGTGGAAATTGGTTTAGGATCAGGGTGCCAAATGCCTATGTTCGTTTAAAGGCTGTAAAACACTGACTAAAACAGTTTTCCGAAGAATTAGACAACTAACACTTGTGGTGTTTGAAGTATTAGGTCAAGGTGACCCTTCGAGTATTGGTCAAATTGTAGGAAGGGTGGCAGAATATACATTAGGTCACAAACTCACACATGCTCTCTTGCTCTCTGTGATAGCTGCTTAACTAATAAGACACCCCCCCCCCCCCCATGATTTCAGAAGTGGTTTTAATGCTTGATATGCAGTCATGAACGTAGCTCCTGCCTGAAAGCAGCATAGTGCCATGTGCAGCCAGTTAGTGTTCCTGGTGCAAAAGGGCATGTCCTCTTTTTTCCCCACTTGTAAGGGATGGTCCCCTCTTTCTCTCTCTCTCTTTTTCTCTCAGATGGCGATTTTGCTGACAGCTGTAAAGAAACCACTTCACTCAACAGTCCACATCAGCTCAGAGATGTCTGGCTTTGTAGTTACAGCCACTTCTCCTGTCTGAAGATCTATTAAGTTTGCTCAGAAGTGTCCCATATGGGGATACTTCTTTTTCCTAGAAGTCAAATGCATCTTTCAGAGCTCAAAGCACAAACACTTGAGGGGGTCCATACATCACAAAAAGCAGCATTTTTAAAAAATGGAGTGCCATGGCAACTATCACCTACCCAACTTATCCTCTTCTCCATAGTGTGTGGTCCTACCTACGCGATCCTTCCTTCCTGTCAGAACTGATAATTTTGCTGGTCCTACCTTTACTGAACTTAACAACTTTTCCCCTCTCTCCTCATCTGTATTCATGAACTTCATATCAATTTCTGTAAATGTTTTGTAAACATATTACCTCAATCTTGGTAATAAGATAACGGTCTTTAAAAGATTTTTTTTTTATTTGTATCAATAATAAATGTGAACTGTTTGGGAAAACAAGTCTGAATTATTTCTTCCCAGCTGAAGAAGAGGTGGTATAACAGGGCTGAGCTGAGGAAAGTCAAACTACTGAATTCTCAGTGCCACATATGACTGCCCCCTTTTTTCTTTTACCTCTCTGGGGCTTAAGGCAGGCAGTACTTCCAGACCTTAAAGGGCTCTTCTCTAAGGCCGCTTTCAAATGGAGGATTTCGGAGGATTCCGCTGTACTGATCCAATGCGTTCTTCATGACTTTGGGCCAATATCAATCTCTAATGGGTGTGTGTTTGTGTATACACGCACACGCAAACACAAATCAATATTTTTTAAAAAACACCTCACTATGGAAATACAGCTGGCAGGCCTACTACTGTATTCCATACTCAAGCTCTCTTTATTCATGTATTACAAGCCCACCCCCTTAAATAGTTTGTGTGATTACAGCAAGAGAGGCTAGCTATCCTCTACCATTAAGCAGAATGAGGCAAACACTTCAGGCAGAATATGCTAGGGGGCAATATGGAGAGACCCTGGCAATTCTCTTTGGTTGGGAGGTGCCATACACCCAGTCCTGCAGCCCTTGAACTAGCTTGCTTTCCTCAGGTGCACTGAAGGAGATTCCCCTGCCAGCCCACTTGGCTACTACATATGGAATGTCCATAGGAATTGCCACCATACCCTTTGCCACAGGCAGCAAATTATTTTGGGCTGGTCGTGTGTGTGTGTGTGTGTGTGTGTGTGTGTGTGTGTTGGGAGCAGGGGTGGGGAACTTAGCAGTCCTCTACATATTGTTGGGCTGTTAGACAACCAACACCATTGCTAGCCATGCTGGCTGGGGCTGATGGGAGTTGTAGTTCTGCCGCCCTTGCTGTAGAACAGGCATGTCCAACTCACAAGAGACTGCGATCTGCTCCCATTATAAATTTTTTTTTAAGGGGGGGAGAAATCGCTAACCTAAAAGAACGACACAGTGGTAACCGCTACTTTCATTTCCTAACTCATCGGCTCATTGCAATTAAAGAACACCCATCAAGACATCAAGAGGGGTCCCACAATCGATGCAGGCCCAGAACCAAACTTTCTGTGTATTATGATGTATCTGTCAACTTATGTTAAGGACAAGGGTCACCTAGGTGCCCTTGGGTGCCGGTGCTTCCTAGGAGATTGCAAAGGGTCTCTGTAAGTATCTTTACAAAATTCTGCAATGCGCAAGAAGCCGTTTCTTCTTCCTGGTTTGCACTGGCTGAGCCCCTCCTAAACTGAACATGCCCTCCTTAGGCACACCCACTTTTTCATTTTTTGGAATACTGCATGTCTTTTGCTCTCATGAAACTTGCACACCTTGTACAGCTGAATATATTCAACTCTACATGAGGGTGATCGACTGGTGCAATGAGGATGTCAGGCTGGGGAAAAGATTTGAGTATTCATGGGAGCAGATTCCCAGGAGATCCATAGCTTGTGTACAAATATGCTTGGCATATTCTGCTGAAACAGCAGCACTTAGTGCCTTGACCTCTCTTTGTTTTCACCTCTGTCAAATTACCAATACATACTTGGAGATACCTTGTCAGTTCTCCTCTACTGCCACCTGCTGGTACCTTAAAGGTAAAGGGATCCCTGACCGTTAGGTCCAGTCATGGACGACTCTGGGGTTGCGGCGCTCATCTCAGTTTACTGGCCGTGGGAGCCGGCGTACAGCTTCCGGGTCATGTGGCCAGCCACATGGCAAACCAGAGCAGCACACGGAAACGCTGTTTACCTTTCCGCCGGAGCAGTACCTATTTATCTACTTGCACTTCGTGCTTTCGAACTGCTAGTTTGGCAGGAGCAGGGACCAAGCAACGGGAGCTCACCCTCTCACGGGGATTCGAACCACCGACCTTCTGATTGGCAAGCCCTAGGCTCTGTGGTTTAACCCACAGCGCCACCCGCATCCCTGGTACCTTAGCTTCCCACAAATGCTGTATAAATTTTGTACAAATTGTATCCTACCTTCCTTCCCAGTTCTGAGATACATACATACATTCTTTTCCTCTCTTTCTCAGCAGGCTGTGGGAGAGTGAGTGGTCCAAGGTCACCCACAGTTAGCTTTGCGGATAAGTGAGCATTTGATTCCAGCTCTCCTCTAGTCTGTAAAAGATCATGTAGACTGATATTATTTCCAGATATTATTTATTACATTTATGTGCTACCTTTCCCCCCAAACTGCTCAAGGTGGTGCATATGGATCTCCCCCGTCCCATTTTATCCTCATGACAACAACCTTGTGAGGTAGGTTAGGCTGAGAGATGGTGACTGGTCCAAGGACAGCCAGTGAGCTTCTGGGATAAATGGGGAACTGAATTCTGGTCTTCCAGGTTCTTAGTCTGGCACTTTTAACCATTACTGGCCAAACTGTCTTTTCTGTAGGAAAATTGGCCAAAGAGACAAGCGCCTTGTGAGGTTATGGATTCCCAATGAATCTGCATTGGGTAGAAGAGGTATTTTCTGCATCTGTTGTCTGATGCAAACAAGAAAGGCATATTCCTGTAGGAAATCCTCTTAATGACTGTATCAACAACAACCAGGTTTCACAAACCTTGGCATCAGCCTTTTCCAGAAGCAATGCAAAACACAATAGGCCTCAGATTAAGTTTTTAACGCTGGCATTGAGAAAGGAGGAGAGAGAAATTGAGATTAGAGAAGCTAACAGATTTTAAACACCATCTAATGCAAGTCTCAAATATAGAGCTCAGCATCATTTCAAATTATCACTAGTTTTAAAAACAAATAACCTCACTGTTCTTATTTCATTGTCCCTAGGAAATTGCATTCAATTCAATCCTACTTGACAAATGTTGTGTGCTGGTTCACTTTGTGGATTGCCATGGATAGCTCCTTTCCAGTCCTACCCAACAGACACCATCTCACAACAATATATATAATAAATAATACAAAATAGGTAAACATTTGCTTGCTTTGCATAATTTGTATAGCATGCTGAATTTTGAAATGTTCCTAGTGAATACACAGCCCTACCTATGTTCTTCCCAGTCTGAAGGGTATAAACATCCTTCTCCCTAGACAGGCACATTAAGTCAACACTGTTGAAGCAACACGAGGTTATGAAACAAACCTATACCCAAACAACTCAAGGAAGCATTGTCATAAAAGTGTCTCTCACTAAATGTAAAGGAACTGTGAAAAACACTCTCTGAATTTGAAGTGGAGATTATTTAAAAAAGAGAAAGCATTGTCATTCATTGCATGTCAAGTTCGAGGATGCAATGTTGCTTCCATGTCCTTGATTTAAAACATCTTGATCCAGTCAGGAAGCAATATTGAGTACCATTACATGTGTGAGCATTGGACTTGTGTGTGTTGCCACATGACGAGGTTGGGAGCTTTTACTTCCGTTTTTAATCAGTTATGTCCAAGCATGGAGCTGTGGTTAATCTGAATTGTGGTTTAGGGAAATGAGCCAATATAATAAATTGTGGTTTAAAGTTAGCTTATGCTCCTAAATCATGGACTGGCCACACTTTGTCCAGGTTCTGACCAAACCAATAACTGCGGTTAGTTGAAAACAGAGGGATAGCTTCTAATTCTTTCCTTGTGTTAGTGCTAAAGGAAGAAAAGGGAGTGTAGCTCATGAGCCCAAGGCTCAGTCACAAAATGCTGAAGTAAGAAGTAGAGGGTATCCCCAAGACTTTGAAAATGGAAATTCACTTCCAAAGAAGTGAATGAGCCTACCTCATTCAGGGTATAAATTTACATGTTAATGGTGGAGAGTCAGAAATGACCACTAGGTGGTGCTAGCAATCTTTAGAAAATCAGGATCACTTTCCCAACATAAAGTCTGCAGACCTGCATTTAATCGAAGCTGAGCTCCTGCCAGTTTGTGGTACTTGATTTAGATGAATCAAAAGGCATAGTGCACTCTATAGCCCTGGTCTGTAAGTAAATGACAGGATGTTTCTAACGGAATATGTGCCAGAATTGCACACTAGATTTAAAACTCAATGTAGACGTCACTAAGAATCACAATATTTGCTATGGTAGCCCATATGATTCATATTATAGTTACTGTGAGGAGGAGAAAGATTATGGTGCCCTTATGCCATGGCTGGCTGTAACAAATCAATAAAACAAGTGGACCCCACACAAAGTCCAAGTGTAGTTAAACACTATAGCAAGATTTGCCAGTCCACACAACTGTGCTTCTGACGCACGAGCTGTGTTGCCTATCTTGAGGATCTGCTATGAGTGAAATAAGCAATTGAAGAAAAGTTACTCTGGAAATTATTAGGTACCTTCCAAATAACTGAAATCTGAATGGTTCTGTGGCAGGAAGTTGCACTAGCTGCTCATAGCTCCCTTTTAGGAACTAGGATCTAATTTTAATCCAAATTAGGTATAATGTATTCATCTGCACCAACTTAAATATTAAAATGCCCTAATCCAAATTCAGTTAGCTGAATTTAAAATGAATGTGCACACCATTTCATTTATCATAATGTACAGTACTCATTTCAATGTTTAAAAATGCATTTTTTTATTTGTGCATGACACAAAAATAACAACAGTGAATGCACTACTAATGGGGCTGAAAGGGGTAAAAGCTGCCTTTCTGAAGCTACAGAAAGGGAAGAGCAACTGGCACTTGCTGCCATTGTGCCAATAATTGCAGTGTGTGCTCAAATTACCACCTTAAAGCAAGTTGGCTAGAGACAAATGAGGAATGGCTTGAGGACGTCGATCGGTGTGAAGACGGTTTGAGAAACACATCAAACCGTAGTTTCATATAACAAAGTGCAGGATACATATGCATCACCTGTCAGGTGAACACAGATTAAAATCCCAGCATTAAGAATGATGTGAGTGTGTGCAGTAAACAGGTGTAGGAACATAGCCCAAGTGCTGCTGCAATTCAGACTGCGAGCACGGACTGCAGTTGCCCCACGTGCTTTGATTTGGAAAACTGGAGTGCTGCAAGAACGATTTTGATTCTGAAATAGCATCCTTTGTAGGAAGTGAGCTTGTTGGCCTAGACAATCCAATGAAGCATCAATGTTCTTTTTCTTTTTATTGCACCTAGACACCTGGCTAATAGCTGTGATAAAAACGGGCAGGACTGTAGTTTACCTGCTGCGACAGAAGTAGATCATTAGCAATGTTCTTGATGTTTTAACAAAGTGGATGGTGCCTTGCCTGTCAATTCAATTCAACGGCTCCTTCCCCAAGGTATTAAGAGCAAGGAAGTCTTAGCTTTGATCTCTTATGCCTTAGGCTCCCTCCTGGCAAACATGAAACGTATTTAAAAAGGCGGGGCAAAGCCATGAAGCTTCATTATGCTGTATTGTTCCACTTTCTCCTGCCACCCATCTGGTCTGTTTGGACCATTAGCTAAATGCTGAAATCAAACCTGCTCCCAGTCTACCTGCACATTGCTAGATTGAAGCCGACTACAGTGGTGCCCCGCAAGACGAATGCCTCGCAAGACGGAAAACCCGCTAGACGAAAGGGTTTTCCATTTTTGAGTTGCTTTGCAGGACAAATTTCCCTATGGGCTTGCTTCGCAAGACGAAAATGTCTTGCGGGTCCTGAGATTTTTTTTCACTCCCCCCCCCTTTTTCTAAGCTGCTAAGCCGCTAATAGCCTTTTAGCAGCTAAGCCGCTAAGCCTTTAATAGCCGCTAAACTGCTAATAGCGCTAATCCGCTAAGCCGCTAATAGGGTTGCTTCGCAAGACGAAAAAACCGCTAGACGAAGAGACTCGCTGTCAGGGGTTCAGGGAGAGAGGCACAGGGTAGGCAGGAGATGGAGAGCGATGGGGAAGAATTACAAGCCAGCGAGGAAGAGGATGACAATGACTCAAGAGATTCCATGAGTCTTTCCAGCGAATCAGAGGATTCCCAGAAGGGGGCGCCGGTGGTCAAGGCCAGGGGGGACGTGTCAGGAGCAGGGGGCCAGCGGAGGATCCCAAAGTGGCAGCTGGGCGTCAGGACCAGCCTCCCCACCAGAGTGCAGCGAAGGGGGTGGAGTTTCCAGTGTGTCAGAGGAAGCAGCTCCGGCAGCAGAGAAAGGAGGGAGGTCAGAGCAAGCCGCCCTCCCGGAAGGGGAGGGAAGCAGTGAAGGGAGTAGTGTAACTGTCAAAAGGAAAGTTAGAGGTTTGGCGCGCGCGCCTAGTTCAAATGTAGAGGCGCGCGGAAGTACAGGGAGCCCGGAGGAGGGGCCAGGTCCCAAAGCCCGCAGGAGGGGGGGAAGAGCAGTCTGATTCCGCATCAGAGGAATCCAGGAGGGGCGAAACCCCAGCGGGCAGAAGGACCCTGCGGAAAAGGAAGGAGAGAAAGAGGTGGAGCAGCACAAGCCTCTTAAATTGGTGCAGGGGAGGGACGGATTCAGAGGGGACTTCAGCGGTCTAAGCGTAAGAGACGTAAGGCTGTGCGCCTAGGATGTCAAGCAAACAATGAACTGCAATAAACACCTTTGTATATAAGAAGACATAGGCGTTGGTCTTTTGTGAGCTGAGACTTGAGGCAGCTTTGACACTCGCGGAACGGATTAATTTCGTCTTGCGAGGCACCACTGTACAGCCATCCTATCTTGGGAGGAGGGTTTGTTCCATGGCTAAAAGTCAAAGGGGGAGA